GAGGCAGACAGGGGTCTGCTGGTAATCATTCCTGGAGGGGAGGGCGGTGCTCTGAATGTGCATGCATAGCACAGCACAAGGTGTCTGGCAGATCTTCCTTTCACAGTGGGAGCAAAGGGATGTGCTAGGGCTAAACTGTAGCTCTCCCTTGTCAGATTTAGAAACTGCCAGTTTTTGAAAATTTCTGTGAAATGCATGAGTCAACCAGGTTGTCCATTGATCACTGACTCACACAGAAAAGCCATTGCCTCTGATGCTTTCTTTAAAAGTCAGGGCCCCTAAAAGTCCATCCTCCGGGGAGCAGGACACAGAGGTACTGATTGATACCTCTGCACTGGGCCCCTCCTGGACTCACTTTTACTCATCAGGAACTCTACAGAGGGAAGCAGTTACAGAATGCTATCCGCCCTCTCTCCTTCCAAAGGCTGTTCTTAAAATCAGCTCAAACAGGAAAATAATAACTGTGATAGATTTGACGTTTGAAAAAGAAACATTAGATACTCTTTCTGGTAGCTGAGAAATTTAGTGCTGGCAACCAAATTATGTGAGTCACTGACAGAAAAGAGGCTGGTAGCTATAGCTCTACCAATACAACTGCTAGGAGGTTACAACACAGATTAAATTATTAACCTTAGCAATTCATATTATAAATTAATAGCTTTACCCAAAAATATTGTGCTTAAATAATAAATATTGGTGTTAATTATTAATAGCAATAGCTTTGGTTCCTTGAGCTTTAGTGCATGGAATTGCAGATTCTATTTTTCTTTTCTCAACCCCAGTGCATTAGAATTAGGACAAGTTGATAGAATTTTGGTGCAGCTGAAAAGATAAGAAGTATGAAATATAAATGACTTTTAAGAATGTGGGGAGAGACCCCCTGACCCTCTGGGGTCTGGCATTGTCTCTGGGGGCTGGCATTCTCTCTGTCAGACACGTGGAGTGGGGGCATATATGTAGCTTGGGTTTGGGGTGGTGCCTAAGGGGCATTAGTGATGCACAGGTAGCCCATTGGTATTCATTTCGCACCACAGGTAAATTCCTAGGGGTGGGGAAGATAGAGCCACAGGTAAATTCCTAGGGGCAGGGAAGATGACCTCAAGATAGAGCCCCCCGGTTGGGCCTGCAAGGCTTTTTTTTTTTTTTTGTCTTTTTCCTTTTTATCGGTACCCGGGATCAAACTCACGACTGCCTGCTTGCAAGGCAGGTGCGTATGCTGCTGAGCTAAATCCCCAGCACCTCCAAGGCTTTACCGGATACAGTGTCCCAACTGGGGCAAAATCCTTTCACAAGTAACCCAGCCCACTATGATCTTTCATCTCTTGGGCAGAATTCCCCTTCAAGGGAAAGTGGTAGGGTGGTCTACACTTAGGGAGTCATCAGGAATCATTTTCATTTTGGGTCCCAATTTTCCAGGCAATATTTTAGATCAGTTTCTGACCAATAAAATGGACTATAAAATGAATGAACCATCTTAGTCACTTTTCTCATCACTGAGACAAAATACTTGACACCCAAAGTTAAAAGAGGAGAAGTTCATTTAGCTAACGGTTTGTAGAGGTTTCAGTCCATAGTTGGCTGTCTCCAAGCAGCGTGGCATTGCAGAGGAGAAATGGCAGGCAGAAGGCAACAAGCAACCACAGTAGCTCTCTTTCTGACCCTTGTATTTTGTCCAAGCCACCTGCCCTTAGGGTGCAGCACCCTTATTCCTAGCTTCATATTATGAGTCATTTCCAGCAGCATTTCCTTAATCCCAGCATCACATACTGTAGACCCAGCCAGCTCTGGAAAGCCGCATTTATAACCACATGAGGCTTTGGGGGGATATCCAGATATAAGCCCTAACATAAACCATAAGGAAAAAAACCCCTTTTAATAGTTACCATAACTAAACCCATCTCAGGCAGTCATAATTTTCAACAGTTTTGGTTGGTAATTCTTTTTTGTGAGTCAAAAGAACAATGAATAAGCAATTCAGTGATAAGAAACAGAGGCAAGTTATTCAATAACAACGGTAAAAAGTCATAATTTAGGATTATTACCAACAATAAAACCTGCATTCGTCCTTAGGTCAAGGCCTTTGTTCTGATTAGCCATCAGTCTAGCTGGACTTAAAAGGCCCTTCATCATCTTGGATATATAATTGTGTCTTTATTTACACCATGAGTGTGCATTCCAATCCACCACTGGAAGATTGGAATTAACTCACTAGAATTCAAATAACTTTCCCTTTGAATTACAAACATAAACTTCCTAGACCGTGATGAAGACTTGGAAGGGCTTTCTATATTTAGTGCTTAACATGGCCATTCTTTCTCGTCACAACCACCACTACCCATAATCAGGTGCTGGCAATCCACTGGACCTTGTATGACCACTTTATAGTAAGAGCAGAATTTTTTATTAATCGTGATCAGATGCAAGTAGGAGTATATTTATCTAGAGTAAAAATGGTGCAAGCGCTCTATTTATCTGTGGAAGGGAAGAATTTAGCCTATTGATTATGAAGCTGTTAAATGAAGCAGACATTGATATGCCATCTAAGCACGTTTTTTTATTACTCTGTCAGATAACTACAGTCTGTCTTCCTGCCTCAAAGCTGGTACACGCAATATGAGATTTTGGGATAAAATAGGTGAAAGACTTCATAAAGCTAAAACCCAGAATAAAAAATAAAAAAATCCATCCACAAACTGTATCCATGTGGTATCCAGTGAAGGTGACTCTACTGTTTTTGCAACATAACTTGGCAAAAAAAGCAAATCAGTCACAGAATATTGTCATTAACAGCTCCAACAGTGCTGGTAAAATGTCTGTGAATGAGGTAACTGAAAGAGGACCCTGATGTAACCATAACGTAAGAATCAGATCACCATGGGAACCTGCCTTTGAATGGGCTGCTAGAAAAAAATATAACTTGCTTAAAAAGTTCAGGAAATCATATGATGTCACTTTTGCAAAATATTCTTAAAGACATGTGAAATTTCCACTTCATTCATATACTCTGCTTGTCTTCCACATACAATTCAGAAGATAATCTTCTGCTGCTGTGCTTCCTATATCCCCTCCCTCCCCATAGCAAAGAATCAGCTCAAAAACCCTTCCTTCCCTGACTGAAAAAAAGCCACAGTACCTCAACATGATTGCATGTGCACAGCCACAGTATTTTCCTTTCACTGAAGAGATGGACCCAGACACAGCTTTACAACTAAAAAACTTGAGGAGAAGCATTCTAGACAATGGAGTTCAGGCTCCATACACTATAAGCCATTTGGATAACATCATCCACGGATTTCAGATGATGCCAGGTGATGTAGCCCATGTCACTCCCATGTGTCTTTCATCAACACAGTTTCTCCATTTTCAATCACACTTCGGGTCATTACTATCAGAACAAGCACAGAGTAATCAAGATAGAGGGGGCAAAAGTCTTAAAGCAATTGTGCATGAAATGTTATCAAGCCAGGCATAGGCTGATAAGCTGATTTAAAGGTTGAGGCACAGGCTCCACTCCTTTACATGCAGTGTAAAGAGCCTCTAAGCTATGCATGGATTTCTGTCCCAGAGGACAGTACACCTGATAAATCCTTTACTCAGGTACTCCAGGGTCCTACATGAAACTTACACCCAGCTTGTAGCAAGATTGCAAGAGCCTTTAGACAGATTTTTCATCATAATGTGACTGAAATGCTCATCAATTAGCATATGAAAATGCCAACGAAAAGTGTAAATGAATCTTAGCCTCTGTATTTCATACTAAAGATTTATCTGTTTACATTCGTGCATGCCAAGATATTGGATCTACCGATCATGGTTCTGTGCACATGGTATAGGTTATATCCCAAAACCTTGCCAATAAATTCCATCTGATTAAATGTTTTAATTGTAGCAAATGGGGACATACTAGCTGACCCTGAGCAGTGCCTCTGTAGGTGCCAGCCTCTTTGGCTGTTCAGACTGCTCGGACCACATGTTGATTTATCACCTTATCCATGTCCATGTTTCATGCAAGGTTTACATTGGCAAAAAACATTGTAAATCTAAATTTCATAATAATGGCACACTCTTGCAGAGAAACAAACCGTATTCCCAAACCAAGGGCCCCAGTAAAAGTAAAAGACTGGTCAGTCAGTACTCAAATGATTCGGACCCAGTTAAGCCAGCTATATCCAGTCCAAACCAGACAAACAACAGTCCCTCTGCCAGGAGGGGCACACAGAGAAATTTTGCTTTACTTCTTTCCCTGGTCCAGTGGACTAATAATCAGAGTGCAGGTTAGATTTGCCAGCAGATTCTCACCTTCATTTGTGGGGAGAAAAACCAATTTTAATTCTCACTAAAATTTCTTCTCCTGCCCTTAGCCCCATGTGTGAATCTGGTACAAACAAGCCTTTAAGCAAGGAACTTATTTTTCCTAGGGTATTTCAGTTCATAGGACTACTTGTAAAAATGGGAACTCTTTTACTGGATTGAGGGATATGGAAGCTGATGTCACTGTTATAAATAGCCAATCATGGCTCTCTGCGTGACCAACTAGACTGGCCTCCTCAGTTTGATAGGCTTAGGCTCCTCTCTCACAGAGTACACTACCACTCCCTTATGTCAGCTATGATGGACAGACAGACATTGTAACACCGTTTATTGCACCTGTTCCTGTCAATCTTTGGGGTATAAACCTTATGAAAGAATTCGACAGTTACTTCTGCCCCTCAGAGCTGTGTGTATTCAGCTTGCAAGATAATGGCTAAGGTGGGTTATCAGAAAAGTGAAGTTTTGAGTAAAAACTTGCAAGACTACTTTTCCAGTTGTGTCTTTAATTAAACAAAGTAGATCTGAAATTGGATTTATACTGAAGGCCATCGATGTTTCTCTGCAAGAACAGTTAATGATTTTATCAACATTAGTAGAAGAACAACTACAATTGGCTCATCTCAGATCTACTTTATTACAACTTTTTTTTTTGGTACTGGGGATCAAACTCACAGCTGCGTGCTCACCAGGCAGTGCTTATGCCACTGAGCTAAATCCTCGGCCCTATTACAACCACTGTTAAAACTCCTAAGGGCTATATTAAGTAGAACTACTCCCTTCTTTATTGATCCTATTAGAACTCATTATAATCTCCCATGTTCATTGTTACTAGGTAATTATAATGCAGATGCTCTTGTACACTTGATTTCCATTTTTAATAAACTGAGAAAATCCCATACATTTTTTCATCAAAAATCTAAAGATCTGCAAAAAGAACTTAACATTACCAGAACACAAGCTAGACAAATTGTGATGTCATGCCCTGCTTGTCAGCTCTTTCCTAGGCCTGTTCCTCAACAGTTACAATTCCCAGACATCTTAGAGCTAATCAGTTATGGTAAATGATTATTCCCCATATAACCTCTTCTAACAAACTTAAATATATTCATTCCTCTCTAGATTCCCTCTTCATGCGGTCCACACTACCTATCATTCAGGTAAATAAAGTCAGCATGTCGTATAGCATTGTGTATCAGCCTTTGCTACCTTAGGAGTGCCACAAAATTAAAAACTGATAACAATCCTGCCTGTATTAGCAAATATTTTCAGAGTTATTTTGATAACTGGAGTATAGAGCATGTTATAAGGATTCCCCTAAAATCTCCAAGATCAAATGGTAATTGAACACATTCATCTTAAACTAAAAAACTAACTAGCTACACAAAAGACAACATTCTTTTTACCTTTTTGAATCCTGCTTGGTGTGACCTCCAAAGAGATACTTGGAATGATCCAACATTACTTTTAAATTGGGACCAAGGACATGCTTATATTCCCACAGATAGTCGAGAGACATTATGACCATCAGAGCTATATTTTAAAAAATTTATCAATAACTTTATTAGTTCAACTGTAAAATTAAGTAAAATTAAATTGTTAACATTATTCTTTTACTTCATCAGAGCTGTTCTGTGGCCAGAATCCAATCCACCTGTGCAACACATCAAACCCTCTGCTGAGACCTCAAGCAATGAACCTTACAGCACACTGTTCACTGTTGTAGAAAGACCTGTAGCAGTGAGCCTTGCCACCAAGTTAACAGCCAGGATTTGGTTTAATCACCTGAAAATCTTTTCCTTGCATTGCTTGCTCTTCTAGCACCTATGGTTTGTGTTCCTGTGGTTCAGGGAGAAGAATAGTAGGGCTTCATACCCAATCCACCCTTACTTAGACCCCTCCATGGGGATGGACATGCCCCCAGAGATTTTTCATTCTACAGAGTGATAATCTGTTCACAACACTATAAAGACCTGGAAAATCTAGCCGAGGGTCTGGATTCCACAGCAATGTCCTACATGAGTCCAGCTGAAGACCTAGAACCCAGGAGCCAACTGGAGGCCTAGAGCCCATGGCAGTAACTCATTCAAGTCTGTTTTATGGATTTGTGCTGGGAAGACCCAAAGGTCAGCGGTGAAAGCTAGGAAGTCTATGCTTCAGGGTGAAGGATGTGTGCTAGTAGATTGAGGGTTCCACACAGGAGCCAAGAAGCAAAGCTCAAAATAAGGATGTGAAAAGTACCACAGCCATCCTCAGTGACAATGAGGTCCCGAGCTCTTCTGATTAGAACAGGAAGCCAGTGTGACAAGCTTCTCCTGGAGATTAAACAGCACACATGTTCTGCTCCAGAGCCAGGAGGTGATGCTCAGTATAAGGACCAGCCAAAGTGAACTCCAGCCACTCTCAGTGAAAAGGTCCCGAGCTCCTCCAATAACAGTGGTCAAGTTCACATCAGGGAAGCCAGCCATGACAAGCTCCTCCAGGAGAGCCAATGGCTCTGAACAACAGCAACAGGAACCCACAGTCCGTGCTCTTTCTCTCCACATCTCCTGTGCTGGCAACTTTCTTCAGGTGGGCCATCTACACTCAGCATCTTGCTGATTTCATTCAGCTGGTATTAAGTTGACCACCAGTTTTAATCCATAATGAAAGGATTTTGCTCCAGATGGGACACTGTACTTGGCCGGAGCCTGGGAGGTGGAACCAAGGAGCTCGATCTTGAGGTCACCTTTCCCGCCCCTAGGCAATTTACCTGTGGTGCCAAATGAATACCAGTGGGCTACCAGTGCATCAGTAATGCCCTTTACCCACCACCCGAACCCTAAACTATATGTATGCCCCCACACAATGTGTCCCACAGAAAGAGTGCCAGAGGTCATGGAGTCTCTCCACATTTTTTTTTTTTTAATTGGTACCAGGGATTGAACTCACAACTGCCTGTTTGCAAGGCAGGGGCTTGTGCCGCTGAGCTAAATCCCCAGCCCCTTCTCTCCACATTCTTAAAATAAAAGCCACTTTTATTTCATACTTATTATCATTTTAGCCACGCCGAAAATTCTATCATATAACACCACCTTTCTATGTAGCCCATCTACAGTGAGGTTCTAGTCCTTGAATGTTGGCTGTGGATCAGACTCGGAAAGTACAATTTGCTGAATTAACCTTAAATTCTCTTCCCTCAGATAGTAACCTTGTAAGATTTTTTAAAAGAGATTTTAAACTTAAATTCCTAGCTGTATTCCAGAAGCTCATGGCACTTATTTTGAGGAAAGTGATTTGGGCCCCTGAAAGACTTGCAGGAATCCATATCATGGACAGACTATAGATAATTTAATTATTCTTTTGTAGACTGGTCCCCCAGAGGATTCCTTCTGGGAAAAGCTCAAGACTGGCACAAGATTTCCTATTCAGGCTCTTCCAACTACACCATGATCTCAGAGGCCTTGTCCAGGGTTACATGGTCAGGTAGAGGCCTCAGTTCTCCTATCCCCAGACTCATTGTCCATGACAAAACTGAAACCACACAACATACTTTATGGAAATTAGCCCTACCTTTTCACGCTGGACAGCCGTGGACTGGGTATCTGCAGCTGGTAAATAGAGGAAAAGTAAAAGTAATATTATAAGCTCATAGGTGTATGAAAGTAAACGTATGTGTTTATGATCCTCATGTACTGTTAAAGGGAAGACAGAGTAGCAACAAAATATGTTCTCATGTACTAACTGTTGCCTAACCCATTGCATCCTGCCTGAACATCTTTCTAATGACGTCACAGCAGTGATCCTGTGCAGGGTGCCCAGGGTTTGGATTACGGTCAATCTGGCAGAGCTTTGGTGTCATCCATCTACTTCCCCCTTGGTAGAGACCCTAATTAAGGTATTTAGCAATGAACCAAGAGGATGATTGGGTTAATTAGAGCCGGGCTAACCTCCCTAGACCTTTTGATAGCTAGTGCAGCTTTCGGCTCTATGGCATTAGTTCACTCAGACAGTCACTTTTTAGACAATCGGACAAGAACTGCTGATGAGAGCTGGAAAATTCCACGAGAAATTGATATAAAATTGCAAACCCAAGTAAGAATCTTAGAAACCTCCATCTTTTGAATGGAAGATCAAATTGAAAGTCTGCAATTGCAACAAAGATTAAAGATTAAACAAAGATTAAAATGTCACTATAATATGATTCACTGTTGTGTCACCCCTTTACCATAAAATAAAAATTTGCATCTTTGGGGATAAAAAACCATATACAAGGAGCAGCCCATCAAAATATACTAAAAATATATAAAATATTACTAAGGATGTAGATGCTCTTCAGAGAAAAGTGTAGTCCATGTCACAGCAGACAACCACATTTGATGCCCAAATTAGAGGCTGAGATATTTGCTGATGCTATTGAACAATTGAATCCATTTGCATATCTCAAGCCTCACTTCTCTCTTGTTTATAATTCCTCTCATTAAAGTGTGTCACAGAGGATTCACAACCTGGCAACAACTAGAGGCCACACAGTCACACTAACCCTGCACCAGATTCTTCAAAACAAAGTGTGTGTGTGGGGGGGGGGACCACCTAGATGACTCTCCTTGAAAGAAGAGCAGTTATCTCCATTTTGGTTAAACCTGGCCCTATTTCCATGTATTGATACATACAGAGCTGGCTAGGACTTTTCCTTATCCTCTTGATTGACTTAAGCAATGCAAATTGATCTAGCCAAGGTGCTAATGTGTAGACTTTGAAGCAAGGTGACAGGTCAGGGTCGCTCCACCCCATAGCTCCCAAGAAGCTTGTGTGAGCTGTGCTGGAAGGCTGGAAGAAGAGCCATGTTCCATGCTGCCACACTCCATGCCATTGGCTGGAATCGAGCCTCAACATAAGAGGTTACACTCAGGGCATAAAAATTACACATCAGAACTTAAGCACCCACCTCGAAACATTAGCTACTACCTCGAATTGTGTAACACAGATTATTCCTTCTGCGTATCCTTCTCTTTGTGCACTGCAGAGGTGATTTCAGGCCACCTGCCTAGCCCAGCTCAGGGTACTCATGTACTTCCTGCCACTGCCACAGTCAGTCATCCCTGACACATTAATAAAATCTGGGTTTGACTTTGAGTCAAGGTCTTTGGTTTGGTTAGCTATCGTCCTTGTTGGACTTAGGACCCTCTTGGCTCCCCACCGTCTTGGATATATAATTATGTCTTTATTTATGCCATGGGTTACACTGGAAGTGGTAGATTGGAATTAACTCACTAGAATCCCAATAACTTTCCTTCGGGATTACAAATATAAACTTCCTGGACCATGATGAGGACTGGGAAGGGCTTTCTATACTTTAAAGCTAAATTTCTTAATAGATGACAGATTTCTGTTTTTTAGTAGTGATGGACTAAAAAATTTAGACCAGTGTGACTGCTGAGGACAATCAGAAAACCTAAGTAGTTTGTACAATTTTTCTTGAAGGCATTTTAGCTAATCAGACAGAAAAAAATTAATAGGTTAAAATTTGAGAGAAGATAGAAATCCAGAGCAATGGAAGCCCACCATATTTAGGAGCACTTTTACCAATTCCAAATGACATGGCGGAAGGTAGAGAAGTTCAGCAGGACTTTGACAGCTTCTTGGGGCACTGGGAAGCAGGAATTAAGCAGGAATTAAGATAGTGAGCCTTATGGGACATGTCCTGCAGCAGGCTATTTGTTAGTGTTGAAATCTTCAAAACGTTCACCATCCCTGAGACTCTAGGACTCCTCAAAGTGAAGAAGACTAGTGAATCTTCTGTGACTCTGAGTGATGCCCCTAAATATCTCCACCTAGAATAAAGGTGATATGGGAGTAAACTAATTTTCAAAGGGATGAAACCCAGCTTCAAATTTTGTTATCACTAGGCTTGGAATAAAAGAATCCCACATTGCTTAGTGCCCCTAGCTATCATTCAGAAGCAAAGATAAATTCTTTCTGAAGGAATGGTAGGATGCCTGTAATCTTTTTTCTCTTTAAACATTTTTCATACCAATTTTAGGCATGCAACTGCAGTATTCCAGGCACATAAAAGGTAAAACAATCACAAATAAAGACCAGAGCTAAAAAGCATCTTAAATAGGCTTAATGTGTTCAAAGGTATAAAAGATAATTCTGAGATATCTGGTAGAGGAAAATCAAATGAAGTTTGTAGAACTGAAAAATTCAGTTGCTGAAATTAACTCACTGAGTAGATTTTAACAGAAGATTAGACAGAGCTGAATACAAAACTAATGAAAGAAAAAGAGAAGTCATGGACAAATAAAATGATATTTTCTTTTTTTCTTTTTTTTTTTTTTTTTGTCTTTTTCCTTTTTATCAGTACCAGGGATCGAACTCACAACTGCCTGCTTGCAAGGCAGGCACTTATGCCGCTGAGCTTAATCTCCAGCCCTACAATGATATTTTCAATGATACAAGACAGAGAAAAAAAGGGGTACATGGAGATTTTATGAGGAAGTTGATAGGATTATTTCCAAAAGATGAAAAATATTTCCAAAAGATGAGAAGTATAAAACAAAAAGCGGCCTTTATTCTGAAAACACGGAGAGAGATGACTGGCACCCCCCACCGCTGGAGTCCAGTGAACTCTCCGGCAGAACACGTGGAGTGAGGCACATAAGTAGCCTCGATTTGGGGTGGAACCTAAGGAGGACATTAGGGATGCACAAGTAGCCCATTAGTCCTAGGTTTGGCGCCATAGGTAAATTCCCAGGGGCGGGAAGATGGCAACACAGGTAAATTCCTAGGGGCGGGGGAGATAGGTTCGCCTATCTCCTAATTGTGATGATATAGTTCTAAAGTGAGTTTTGTAAGGTGTGTCTTTATGAGGCCATTTGCCTTTTGTACTTTTCCTGAGGATTGTGGATGGTATGGGATGTGTAGGTGCCAGGTGATGTGTAAGCTCGAGGATACCTGTTGAGTGATCTGAGAAATAAAGGCAGGACCGTTATCTGACTGAATACTCTGAGGTAGACCAAACCTTGGAATGATTTCTTGTAATATGACTTTGGTAACTACATCAGCAGTTTCCCTGGTTGTGGGAAAGGCTTCTATCCATCCTGAAAAAGTACAAACAAAGGTGAGAAGATATTTGAGAGTTTTGTGGTGGGGCATGTGTGTAAAATCTATCTGCCAGTCCTGACCAGGGGTGTGTCCTTGAAACTGATGGGTAGGAAAGGAAGGGGGTACCATATGTCCTGAGGAGAGGTCCTGGCATAGAGATCACAGGTGTGATAATCTTAAGAATGATAGCTTTTAGAGAAGGATGTGCGACTATTGGGCCTAAGAGTGTGTATAGGGCCTGTGATCCTATATGAAAACAGTTGTAAAAGTCAGTGATGATGTCTAAGGCCTGTTGATGTGGGAGAACAAGTTTAGATTCCTGAAAAATCCATCCCTGAGTGTTTTGTGTGTAACCTGGTTTATGAAGTAGCTGTAACTGCTCTGGTGAATAATTAGGCTGAGGTACACTGTTTGGGACTAATGGGAGAAATTGAGAAGGGCAGGGCCCTTGTGCAGCTAACTTGGCTTGTGAATCTGCAAAGGCATTGCCTTGAGCAATAGGATCTGTAGAGTTTTGGTGTCTTCTACAATGAATAACTGCTGCCTGCTTTGGAAGCTGGGCTGCCTCTAGAAGTTTAAGGATAAGGGGAGCATCAATGATGGGGGATCACAGAGTGGTAATAAAACCCCATTCTTGCCAGATAGAGGCATGAGAGTGTAAAATGCTAAATGTATACTTTGAGTCAGTGTATATATATTTATAATCTTGCCTTTTGCTAGTGTAAGAGCCCTTGTAAGGGCAATAAGTTCTGCCCTTTGGGAAGAGGTCCCAGGTGGCAGTTGATTTGCCTCTATAACTTTTGACTGCTTAACTATTGCGTATCCTGCCTCCTTTTGGTTGTCTGTGTTTATTGAACTGTCATCTATGAACCATGTGTCAAAGGCCAAGGAGAGAGGTGTGCTACTGATGTGAGGGAAAGGGGTGGGAGTCATTTGTAAAACCTCAATACAGTCATGGTGAGGATGGCCCTCTGAGGTGGGAAGTAAGGTGGCTATATTTAGAGGACCACTAGTTGCAATAGAGATGGAAGGGTCTTGAGAGAGAGCTAAGTGTACCTGTTGAAGGCGAGAAGGGGTCATTAGGGCAGGGAGCACCTTATATAAGATAAGCTCACATAGGTGGTGAGGTAAATGTACTGTAATAGATTGCCCTAATGTAAACTTTTTAGCTTCCTGTGTCAGGAGGGCTGCAGCTGCAAGAGACAAGGAGTCCATCCTTTTACTTTGTGATCTGTTTTGACAAGTAAGCTACTGCTTGAAAAGAAGGTCCCTTTTTGTGTCCTAGTACACCTATAGCGTTGTGGCCCTGACAAGTAGTATACAGGATGAAAGGTTGGGTGGCATCAGCAAGGGTAAGAGCTGGAGCTTTAAGGAGAGCCTCTTTTAATTTATGAAAGGAGGTATGTATGGGCCTAGAGGGTCCAGGGGTTCTGATAAAGGACCCTTAGTGGCCTTGTAGAGGGGTTGAGCTAGGGCTGCAAAGTTAGGAATTCAGAGACGAAAGAAATTAGCTAAACCTAGGAAAGATGTAACCTGCTGTTTAGTTGTGGGCACCTGGAAATCACGAAGAATTGCCTTACGATCTGAGGTGATGGAGCGAGTGGTGGGGGTGAGAGTGAGACCTAGGTATTTGACTTTTGGGGAGGCTATCTGGGCTTTAGCAGGAGAGATCCTGTATCCACGACTAGCAAGGAAATTAAGAAGACTGGCTGAGTGGTGTACGGCTAACATATGGGATGGAGAACATAATAGAAGGTCGTCTATGTATTGAAGGAGAACACTAGGTTTGAGATCAAGTTCTGTGAGGTCAGTATCGAGAGCCTGACTAAAGAAGTGGGGACTGTTTCTGAACCCTTGGGGTACTGTCCAAGTAAGTTGTTGAGACCTGAGAGTGTCTGGGTCAGTCCATGTAAACGCAAAGAGGTTTTGGCAATCAGGGTGTAGGGGGATAGTGAAGAAGGCATCTTTAAGATCTGTAACTGTAAAGTGAGTGGTGGAGGGAGGGATATGAGAGAGCATGGTATAAGAATTTGGCACCACTGGGTGAATTGGGGTAACAGCACTGTTAATTACCCTAAGGTCCTGTACCAGGTGATAGGACCCATCAGGCTTGAGTACTGGGAGAATGGGAGTATTGTGGGGTGAATGTGTAGGTTTAAGAAAACTGTTGTCTAAAAGCTGCTTAATTATGGATTTAAGTCCCCTTAAATGTTGGGGAGATATGGGGTATTGGGGAACACAGGGAAAAATTGAGGGATCCCTGAGATGGATTAAAACAGGCATGGCATGTGTAGCCAGAGTGGGATTGGATGTGTCCCAAACCATGGGGTCAACCAGAGAAGGAGGAAGGGGAGGGAATGGCTTTGCGATGCATTGTGAGGCTGTTTGGAGGATTAGGGCTGTGGGAAGAGAGAAAGTGAAGGAAAGAATAAGCTTTTGAAGAAGATCTCTGCCTAAAAGGGGTGTGGGACATGTTGGGATTACTAGGAAGCTATGGGTAAAGAAAAGAATCTGGGGGCTGGGGATTTAGCTCAGCGGCATAAGCACCTGCCTTGCAAGCAGGTGGTCATGAGTTCGATCCCCGGTACCGATTAAAAAAAAAAAAGTATCTTAAAAAAAAAATAAGAAGAAAAGAGTCTGGAATCTACATGGGATAGGCCCAGTCTGCAAAGGTTGATTTGGCTGGCCATCAACGCCCACAACAGAAATCAAGGACTTACTACAAGGTCCTGAAAATTCAGGGAGTACACTATAAGTTGCCCCCATATCCACAAGCAGAGATATTATCTTACCTGAGACCTCCAGTGAGACTCGAAGCTCCGACAAGGTCCAGAGTGGGGGCTGTGAGCCCTGAGCCCCGTCAATCTTTTGCAGCAAGTCCAAGCAGGTCAGTCAGTGACGAATCTGGCATTGACGGAGTGTCCTGTGAGGGCAAGGGATTAGAGGATGGCTTACCCTCTCTCTGGTGGCTAGGACAGTTGCTCTTCCAATGCCCCTTAATGCTGCAGTATGGACATGGTCCTAGAGGAATGCCAGGGTTAGGGCAATCTTTCGCCCAGTGTCCTTGTTTGCTGCATTTGAAGCACAGTCTGGGTGGGACTCGGGCAGCCACACCTTGTTGTGGATTTCTTGTGTTGGGAGCTCCAAGTGCCACTGCTATTAGGTCAGACTGATATTTAGCAAACTTTAATTTTTGAGCTTGCTTTTCCTCTTTTTGAACCTTATCTCTATTGTTGAAGACACGGAAGGCTAAATTTAAGTAGATCCCCTTGTGGAGTTTGAGGGCCATGTTCAACCTTTTGTAATTTTGCACGAATATCAGGAGCAGACTTTGAAATAAAATAACAGTTAACAACAATCATCCCTTCATGAGAGTCTGGGTTTACATTAGTATATCTGATTAAGGTTTCCTGAAGCCGATTTAAAAACACAGCTGGGTTTTCGTTAGCCTCCTAGATCTGTTCTAAAAGCTTATTGTAGTTAGTATGATATTTTTGAACCTTGTCCATTTTGATAGTTCCAGTCAGGATCTTGGTCTGGCACAGCTACAGGCCTAGGGTCATTTTCAGTGGTGTTCGCCCTATGCCTGTGGTCAGCTTCTTCTCAAGCTGCCTGCCACAGCTAATTTCGCTCTTGTGAGCTAAGGGTGGTATTTAAAATCACATAAACATCCTTAAGATGTAAATCATAACAATTAGTAATAAATTCAAATTGCCTGATATAATTCTGTGGGTCAACAGAGAAGCTACCTAATTTATGGGCAATCTGGGAGAGATCAGAAAGGGAAAAAGTCACATGTATATTAACAAGTCCCTCGGGGCCAGCTTGCTCCCAAAGTGGCAGCAGAGCTTGAGGAGAAGAATGAGGAGTAGAGGGCCACTGAGCAGCCATCCATCTGGTAGACGTGTGTGAGGAATTATCTGAAGAGTGGCTACAGAATGGCTGCCGTTCACCCTGGGATGAGGAAACACAGGCAGATGGTGTCTCACTGTGTGCCTTGCAGCGAGAGGATTGCTGTTGGCAACCATCATGTGGACCGCAACAGGGCGGCTGTTGCTATTCACAAGAGGAGCCACAAGGGGGCACCCATTGGCCGCGAGACCCATCCAAACATAGCGGTGCCCATTGGCCATGTGACTCGTCTGAACATGGCGGTGCCCTATCTCCGTGTGACCCATGTGAACATGGCGGTGCCCTGTTGCCATGTGACCCGTGTGAACATGGCAGCGCCCTGTCATGTGGCAGAGGGTTGCAACATGGCGACTGTTCCCGGTGCAAGCTGGAACAATCACGCAGCCTGCTGGAAGGACATAGTGACCGAGACCTAGTATGGTGGGTGGGCGGTGAGAATGCTGTAGGGGATAGAGAATTCTCAGGAGAATAAGTCAGAGACTGCGAGGAAGTGCTAACAGAGGGATTAGAGCCACTGGGAGAGTTATGGGTCCCAGGAGATGGAGGGGAAGACGATCGCACAGTGGGAGATAACGGTGAGGAACCATTTTGGGGGTAGGGAGGCAGTGGCCGGGAAAACACTGGAGGAACATCGTCAAGTGAATCCTGAGGGCAGGATGGAAAAGTTTGTGGCATGGTAGAGTTAGCTAAAAGTATCTCAGTGGGAGCATAAGACTTAATGAAAGACGGGTGTGTTCTCAGAATAAGAAAGGCCTGAATATAAGGGAGTTCTAATAACTTATCGCCAGCCTGACAGAAATCATACAAGTTCCTGAGAATGCAGGGGTCAGATGTTCCTTCCTTGGGCCAATGATTACTGCTAAGTGGGTAGGTTGGCCAGACCTCCCACCAGTAAAAAGTTAATTGTTTAGTTTTTATGGTACTTTTAATTTTTAGAGTACATAAATTGGAAATTAGGCATTGTAAAGGTGTTTTTTGGGAGTTAGAGAAATAGGTTTCCCATGACTGACTCAGGCAAGAAATAAGCCATGGTCCAGAGAACAAGCCGTCACTCGTTTGTGGCACCACACAGTGGCTAAAGTTCCAAAAACTTGTATATTCCAGTCGTCACTGAGAGATTTACAAGTGGAGCCCACGTGGGGTTAGTAACAGTTTTGCCCGTGAAAGCGCAAGGCTTTAAGGGAAGTGAGGGCCTTTCAGTGTGGGCAGTCCAAAAATCTCTGCTTTGGGCTATCCAAACACAAACAACGTGAGAGATTTTAGAGTGTGGACACAGGTTCACCCAGAAAGAACCCTGCCATGGACTGTCCTAAGGACGTGAAAATGCCACAGACCCACGCAAATGGGGAGAACAGTCAACTGGGGCTGTCCAGTGCCAAGAGTTCCCCGGAGAGTGCTCACCTGAAATCAATGGCCAATGGTGAGTGCAGGCGGCTGGCGACAAGGACGTCTTGGGAGAGGAAAAAGTGCAGAATTAATCCAGGATGTTATCTGGTTTGTGAATCGGCTGGGAGACTCAACTGGGTGTGTCCCAGGAGTCAATCACCTGCCGATCGAGTCACGGCACCAAATGATAGGATTATTTCCAAAAGATGAAAAATATTTCCAAAAGATGAGAAGTATAAAACAAAAAGTGTCCTTTTTTCTGAGAACATGGAGAGAGATGACCAGCGCATAAGATAATCTTCATAGGGGCTGGGGATTTAGCTCAGCGGCATAAGCACCTGCCTTGCAAGCAGGCAGTCATGAGTTTGATCCCTGGTACCGATAAAAAAGAAAAAGACAAAAAAAAAAAAGATAATCTTCATAATGTTCTATATAATAACAGTCGCAGTTCTTTCTACCCTCAGCTGTCTGGTTAAACGTGACATCCCTGAAAGCCTAAGCCCGTACCTCCCCTATACTGGTACAGCCACTGCCTTCCCCGCTCCCCCTATTTTTTCCAGTTCAACTTCTGGACCAGAGACAAGTTTTATACACCTACCTTCTTAACTTTTATGCTTTCAGATGGGGGAGTAATCACCTCTCATAACATCATTTCCCTCTACCTCACCTGGGTCCCTAAATATGACAGTGCCATGTCTCCTCATAACATCTTGTCTCTTTGTTTTTCTGTATAACATATGTGCATTCACCAGTGAAGTTGTCCTTGCTAAAACACCTGGTACCAGCTTCTACCTGGGCATCAACCTTCATCCTGTCAACTCCCCTAGGCTCCAGTACAGTGCCCTCTGCCAGCAGGAAGTAGTTAAGGAGAGAAATCTTCGCCCCTTTTCATAATAATAATCTTAGACGGGATATGAAAGGGTTTTGGCCCAGACAGGACACTGTAGCCAGAAAAGCCTCAACCAGAAGCAGGAAGCCCCTATCTCCCCCGCCCCTAGGAATTTACCTGCGATGCCATCTTCCTGCTCCTGGAAATTTACCTATGGCACCAAACCTAGGACCAATGGGCTACCTGTGCATCCCTAATGCCCCCTTAGGTTCCACCCCAAACCAAGGCTACTTATGTGCCTCACTCCATGTGTTCCGCCGGAGAGATCGCTGGATTCCAGCGGTGGGGGGTGCCAGTCATCTCTCTCCATGTTCTCAGAATAAAGGCAGCTTTTTGTTTTATACTTCTCATCTTTTGGAAATAATCCTATCAGAAGTCTAACATAACGAGTCTCAAAACTAGAGGAAAGAGATTAGAAACAATATGTGAAGACGTAGTAGATAAAAAATTTTAAAACTTGATGAAAGGCATTGAGCCAAGGATTCAAAGAGTACTACAGATTCCAAGCATGGCTAAAAAGAGAAAATCAGGTATACTATGAGGCTGTTCAAAATATATTCAGAGACACCAATCCAAAAAAAAATATATCTTCAGAGAGTGGACAGAAAATCATCACCTACTTATTTAAAACATGCTTTTAGGATAAAGATGAAATTAGCACATTTGCAGCCAAAAATGGATGTCACCAGCAGACCTGTACTACAGGAAACACTAATGGGCATTCTTCACATGGAAAGAAAATGATTAAAGGTAGAAATACAGAAAGGAATGAAGGTATAAGTATGGAAGAAATATAAATAAATATTGAGTGTGATAAAGCTCTGTGGAATTTATAATGTCTATAAATGTAAAATGTATGGCAGGGCATCATATAAAGTCAGAATGTGGGGAAGGGAATTTATCAGTATGTTAGTAACCTGACATTGGAGGAGGGGAAGAGTATAATGTAATGTTATGCTTTCATAAGCCAAGAGTATAAATTCCATCTCTAGGGGAATGCTTATAAGAATAGTAAAGATGAGTACAACACCTGACGTACATACTTACACCCACACACACTTAAGGAAAGGATAGAAAGGACCCACCAAAATGTTAATTGTGGTTCTGTGTGAGTAGAGGCATTTGGCCAGTTTTTCCCTTCATTTGCTTATCCATGTTTTAAAAAATTTGCATCTAAATGTGGAAAAGTGGCCATGAAAAAAATTCTGTCTTATAATTTGATGACTTTTCTATTTCTTTTTTTAAGCTCTTCTAAAACGGAGGTAAATGAGATTAAAAGTAAAATTTGCCATTAATTTGAAGGATTTTTTTTGCTTAACAATATAATCTAAATATTCTTCTGTCATTAAGTATTATTCTATAAGATTTTAATTACTGTAGGTTAGTCCATTGTATGGATACTCTATAATTTATTTAACCATTTCTTGTTATTGGACATGTATTGTTTCTAATTTTTAGAAGTAATACTCCTAATAAGTATTCCTGCATACATGAGAATATATTTCTAGAGGTGTATGCCTAGTGGCCCAAAGTGTCTACAAAATATTAAGATTTTTTAAATTCATATTACCTAATTGCCTTCCCCTAAGGCTGTATCTACTGGTACTGGGGTTGGGATTCAGGGCTTCACACATAAGGGCTCTGCCACTGAGTGACACTCCTGCCCCCTAAGTGGCTTTTTAGTTGACCAGGGTAAAAGTATAGGGGATATGCAACAATAATTATTTTTGTCTTTT